AGACCAATACTGGAGATAGGTTTGCCAAGGCTAAGCCCATCAGTGCATTCGTCAGAGGCTGATTCTGTTGTTGCCCACCTGAAGATTACATCCAACCTCATTTCCTATGGATAAAGCAGGGAAGCACTTAGCAGCTGCTCTTTGAATTGTGAAGTCACCATCCTCTTAGAAACCAGGAAGGAGAAAGCCTGTTGCACTCAGATCTCACCAAGGTAGTTCAATTGAAAGGAGATATGAATGACAGTGGGGGACATTGAAGTCAGTCCCCAGCTTGGTGACACAGCCATAGCCCATGGTGGGCCTTGGGACCAGGTGTGGAAGTCTTTCTCCTGCCTCTAGCAGAATGAAAGGTGTTAGATGCTTTCACAGATGCTCTGTGCTCCTTGATCACAAATTGCAAACTTTGTGCATACATGCTAGCAGGGCAGAAGCAGCCTGGCTGAGCTCCAAAATCAATGTTAAAAACAGTAATGTATGTTTTATACAGCTGAACAGCTCAGGAACCCAATCTGTTCTCACTGTGTTATCACCCAGTCCAATATATGACACAGAGCATGTGCTTACACTTTTATGAAGTTATTTGCCAGTAATACAAAATAAGTGTGACACTCGATCAGTTCTAAAATATGTTCGAGAAGGGATGACAGGGGTCAAACTAAGAAGAGGTGAGAAGAAGAGTTGGCAGCAATTATTCACAGTTTTTAACTGTAAGAGAACCACAGGGCATCCTCTGGAATGAATTGACACGTAGATTTAAAAGTAGAGATAGTGACTCACGCAGCAATTGTGCTATTTTTTACAACAGGATGTTTTGATATCTAGAGATATAAGTGGATTAGTTACGTAAAGGCAGTGTTGGTGTGTATAGACTCTAGCTTGGGAATTCTCTGCCTTCTGAAATGAGGGGAATATACATGATCATTGTTCTGCATTTTTGTTCTTCTAAACATCAGTTATTGACAGTTTTCAGAGATGATGTACTGGACTGCGTAGGCTGCTGGTAGAAGCATGATGGCATTGCACTAACACTTCATATTCTCTTTCTGCTGCCTTTGGGAAGATGAAAGTGACTTGGGAAGCAGAAAAGAATCAAGTCAATAACAATATTACCAATCACAAACTGACCAGACCTGTAAATTACTGTACTTCCCAGAACCTCCATTTACTGCAGTAATGACATTTTATGTCATCTGCAAGTTTAGCCTCTGGATTGATACAAGTCAAACCACAGTGTGTGGGATCTGTCCTTCTGTCCTGTACCAACATAGGCAAGTTGGGAACTGTTAATCCTTTCATTTTGTTGGTTACAGGAGTGTTCTTTAGAACAGTAATGCATCAATGACAGATTGATGTGCTTGTACAGATTTGAATATTCAGAACATAGCTCCAATACAAAATTTGTTGCATGAGAACACTTCCATCACAAGCTTCCTCTCTGTGATTCTGTAGCTTATTTTTCCCCATGGTTCAATGATTTCAGGAACATTGGTTGGGAGATCAGAATTTTTTAATGGAGATACTTTTCTTTCATGTTTGAATGCTTCTTGTGGAGCACTTACTGGTTGCAAGGGACTGCATGTGAGCACAACTTGTAATAGCCTGTGGATCAGTACCTGCAAGTATAATGTGCACAAGTGTGTCTTTGTACCACGACTGCATGACAGACCACCCCTGAGGTCTAGCAGCTCTCAGTCTGTACTGTTATCAGTCTACTTTTGGATGTGCACTTTCAGGGCCAAGTCTCTGATGAGGGCGTGATGCATCTTCTCTGACATGCACAGAGCTCATCTCCTTTCAAACTCTGCAATCTGCTGCACGGTGTGCTGTGCTCATCTCAAACACGGCCTGACTGCCTTTCAGAACACATTACATACAATTTACACTTTAAAATGTACGTAGAGTATTTGCTTTCCTAGTTTTTTTTTATGTGACAGCTTTGAATTTTAGAATGAGGTGTCCAGATGTACACTAATAAAAAATTCTCCTGCCAGCAGCAAAATGCATAGTAATTTATTAACTTTTCAAGTGTAAATACAAATTGATTTGATGATGTGCCACATAATGAAAAATTATTTGCAGTCACAACTTGCCTTCTGGTTGGTACTTTTTTTTTTTTTTTTAATTAAACTTATTACAATGAGTTTAAAACTGGGCAATACTTTTTGATGGCCAAGAGAAAACTGCAGCTCTGTGAAATGTAGAAGTGCTTCTTCACGTCTCTGAAGCACAATCGTGATTCAGAAATTCTGCTCTTTGAAATCAGGTTGGCAGGTATTGCTTCACTGGGATATTTATGAGTAGATATTTTTGGGCAAAGAAAAAACATTGTTTTTGCTTAGGGTAATCCATGAGGACAATATCTTTAGTTACATATTAGTAGTATTTTTAAATAAGTCAATATATTTTGTGAAACCATTCTAATATCAGTTACAATGCATTGAGAGGTCATCGTACATCTTTTATCTAAGGCTGTTGCACTGCAGAGACAGCTAAAATCTTCACATGGTGTAAGTACTCCAGGCACTCAGAAGGACAAGGTATTTTCAACAGTTGCCAGAGATGGGAGACCGTTAAGAGAGAACCTGAAGCTAATTAATTACGTGAGTCTAGAGGTGTAAATATTGGTGTGCTTTGTGCCAAATTCACTGAGAATTATTAGCTGTAGCGTTGCAGTAGAGACTCCTTGAGTTCCCTTATTTCACTAAGTAAGCAGACCCCATCTCCAGGAGAAAAAACAGTCAGTGCACTGGGGGTTGATGAATATCTGTGTTACCACATTGGTAATGCATGCTATGAATGCTTCAGTACATTGTCGCCAATTAATCCATTTTTCCATGTACCCAATGATTACGGCTGCCACACTAAGTCCACTAATATCATCAGAAAGAAAAAAAGTCTGTAAGGTGAGATCTGGCCTCCTGAACAGGTATTCTTAATGAAGGAATTCAAAACTATATAAAGTTTGTGGTTCCATCCTGAGAGAACATAACACTAGGTTCATTTTTGTGAATCCACATTTAGAGATGTGTGAAGACATGATCCTCCCATGGTTTCTATCCGTCTTGTTAGCTAGTTCCTCCAATTTGAAATACCATCTTTTATCTGTAGCATGACCTCAGGACTGACTGTGTCAGTGCTAAGTAGCAGTTAGTCAAAATAGCAGCAGTCAAAAATAGAACCGTTTTCAACTGAGGGAATTCTGACAGTTGTTCTTCCTCACAAAGGCTTTTGCCTAACAAACAAAAAAAACAAAGAAGCAAACAAAACCACAAAACAACCCAAAGCTATTTGTGTCCTACCTGAATAACAACGGACCAACCTCTCCCTGCACCACAATTTTTGTTGAAGTTCTTACAGTGGAACTCATTTTGTCCCCAAACGGGCTATATGGTGCTTTGGTATGGGTGCTAATGAATGGATTCAACTAAATGATGGATATTGAAGGAACGTGTAATTGATCTGGAGAACAGATTAGGACTTGTGCTATTCCACTAATGCTTATTAGACGTGGCCTAAGCATTTAAAATTTCGGCTGTCCTATGTCAGATGGATTACAACCCTTGTCACACAGCACTTGAGGTTCTCATCTACTGAAACTGCTTTTATAAAGGAGCAGGCTGATGAAAAGAGATCTGAGCAGTTTCCAAAGGACAAGGAGGGCTTGATGTTCAGACATGTCAAGCTCCAAATCATTAAACTGTGATAGATGGTTCGATGCTTTCAGAGTGAAGAACTACCTTAGTTTTTGTATTCTGTCTGTGGAGCCAGCTTTTAGTTTTGGGATGCGGGACACTCCTGAAGAGTTCTCATGCCTCATGGAGGAGTACAACATTTATGTAATTCCAGTTCAATCAATCAAATCCTTCAGTGACACCTTTAAAAAACTTTCTTCCTTCTCTCAGCTCCTTTCCACTGGAGGTGACCATGCCTCAGAACCACTAAGCCGATAAAGCTGGTTAACAAGTCTGGCTGAGGAACAAATGGCTTCACTCCAGCCAAGAACAAATTCAGCTTGAAAGACAGTTTATAGCTCTCAAAGGAGAGAATTCTGAAAGGTTTTTTTTCCATACAAGACTCAAACTCGTTTTAAAAGGATCTTGACATGCTTACAGAAGTATTTTTTGTCATGCTTGCCCAGGATAGGAGCTTACCCAAACTGGTGCTCCTTGCATTCCATTCCTCTGTCCCAGGAGATAGTGTTTAACTCCAAAATCTCTTAAACAAAAAATACTCTTTTCTTATCTGAATTTCCTCTACAAGGCATTAAACACTTTGGAGATTATCTGCACTGCAGGAAACATGACTGAGCATTTGAAACAACATGAAGCAGGACTTTGGATTACACTACGGGTGAAATACTGACAAGAGACCCATAGACTTTGGTTAAAACAGATAATACTCAAGCCTTTTTTATTATTGTCTCCTTTTATGAGAGAATATTTAAGACTCTCTCACATGCAGATTTACCATGTTAATACCACAGTCAAAGCAGTGGTTCAGACAGATAAAGACCAAAGGAAAAAGAACACAACAGACGTATTTCTTAAATATAAGAAATTGTTTCATTAAGTCTTAAAAAAAACACCCTGACAATCACAGAGAAAACCAACCTTACCTTTAAGTTATTTGAATTCTTTTATATTATTCCATAAATCTCAGAGCCATTTAACTATCGCAGAAATCTGCATTCTTTCTCATACCGAAAGCCTGGTTCTTGCAGGCTTCCAGCGATGCGTGACCTCTGCACTCAAAGCTTGCCAGGACTGACCCTTGGTTAGACCACGTGGCCACGTTCCAATGCTTTGCACTGAGCACCAAAAAAGTGCAGCCATGTAATTCCCAGGACAGCCAATTCATGTTCGTTATGGTGGTGTGATAATGAAGGATAATAATTTTTGCTTAAAATCTTTGACAGTAAAAGCACATCTATCTGGTCTTCTCAGCTTCAAAGCTTCTAAACAGCAAATACAGCATTATTTTTCAGGGCAGCAGATTTGGTATTTCTCCTTTTTCCTGGGCAAAGGGTTGAAAAGCTTGCTGCCCTATTGCTAACCAAGGATCAAGTCTAGATTGACCATTTGTCAAGAAAAAAACACAACCAACATGTAGCACATTCGCTTCTGTTGGGTGCAGTAACTTTACATTCCTAGGAGTGAGGCATCGAGCTGCCACACTGTATGCACACATATAACTATTTTCACCTTTGTGCCACCTTCACAGTTAGCTGTGTTTAACTGAAAGACTACACAAGGCGTGAACAACTTGCCACTTTGCTCCCCCCAGAACTCACCAGGTAAAAGTAACTTTCCCTTCTGTCTTCCTGTCTCCCTCAGCCATGCCATAACACTCTGTTAGAATAAACAAAAGAAGAAATAAAACTTCCATAGGGTTTTCCCCTTTTAAATTGTATCTGAGAGAAGATCAAAAGTCACTTACAAATAGAAGTTCTATACCAAGAATTCAACACCTGCCTTGTAGACGGTGACTGGCTTTTTTAATTGTCTGGTAGATTAACATAATGAGGTTAAATGCAGGGCAACTGCTCCCAATCTATATTTAGCCTGAATCTTCCTACCTCTGTTTCAGCCCTGCAAGAAGGATTGAGTACTGAGCCCATCCATGATTTTAATGTAATGCTTGATTAATTCAAGATGTTACCCCTCCCTGCACGCTGTTCTAGAGGTCAAGTAACCATAAATGCAGAATTTAAACCATTTTTATATTAGAACCTCAGCCATAATTATTCTTTTGTATATATTCATGCATAACCTGGTGCATGTGACATAAATAAAGATAAGCTATTAGCCACCAAAAAAAAAAAAATTAAAAAAAAATTAAAATCCAGACTTTGTATTACATATTGTACACACAATTGCAAAAATAAAATGGGGCAAAATATGGTGATGTGCTCTCTGGATGCCAACCAAGAGTTGACAACAACTGATGGAATTTGCATGTTAAAAGTAAATATTTTATTACATACCATGCCCTTGAAAAATTAACTTTGTTTCCAATTTATTTTGTTCAGCATGCCTTGAAATAGGAACGGCAAAAGCTCTTCAAGAAACAGATCACCAAGATTTATGGTACTGCAGTGTCTGCAATTACCTATTTTCCTAGCTCAGTAAAACAAAACAAAACCTTTTTTAAAAGTACTATAAAATATTAAACAACAAAGTTAAGATGCTGTCTCTGTCATTCAGTGTGACTGAATTTACTGCAGTGAAAAGCCGTCTGTCGTTGACCCGCACCCAAAGCCTGCTGACCATGGCTGTGGTCATCGGCTCTGACCGCCTCTTGGGCAAGGCTTCAATGAGCCACTGGATACATTATTAAATGCAGGTTCACAGATATGCTGTCATCAGGTCAAATACAGTAAAATATCTATATTTCAGAGTAACGTTTCTTATATAAGCTGCCTAGTTCATGCCTGCTCGAACTTCTTCTCGTAGCACTAGGTTTGTGTTTGTTTTCAAATACTGAAAAGCCTCTGTTGGTTTGTTCAGGAAATTTGTCTAGACAGTGCTCACAAAGCATGTTTGCTCACATTTGACATTTTCACAAGATGGGCAACAAAATGGAAGCTTCAAATTGCTGAATTCCACAGTTGGCAACTAAGTCACCTTATTTGCAGAAGTAACGAGCATCCAGTGTTCCCTGCCTCCGGCTTCCAGACGGTCGCTGGAACAACACCAAGTGTACCTGCAGGCACAGCCCTGCAGGATGGGAGCCTTGAACCTGTACTTGGGGCTTGAAGGCCAGCAGAGGCCTCTCCATATCCACCCATACATTTACTGCCTCTAAAGAGTTAAATATGCAAGTGCTATATTGTGACTCCTTTACAGTCAAGAAATGTAAAATGTGGCAATACAATGGAACGTGGTTATTTTACCTATTCAACGTTTATCTGTGTCTATGGAAGAGGTCTCTAAAATGCCGCCTTTTAGCAGCGTGAAGGTTGAGAACCACCTGTAAACATATGCAGAATAGTCTCTTTCTAGAGATAGAGACTCCTAAACAATCAACCTTGAAATTTCTCATATATTGTATCATGTTTACCAGTGTTATTTACAGGTCTTCGTTTTAGTACAATGAGCCAGACATGCTGAAAAGGTAGGATTTTTCCAGTCCTCTCGTATACGAAGTACAATAAAAAAGGCACATGATTATTCACCATAGGATTTGTGCACCAGTCAATAACTTAAAGCTAAAAAGCTACCCATCAGAGAACTCTCTTTATGAGGCAGTATTGGGATCTCTCAACTCATAGAAACATCTGTCTATTAATTCTCCTAGGAGAGCTTAGGAACACACTTTTCTGAGTCTTCTGATCTTCCCAAGACTTCCAAATAAGCAGAAAACTTTTCTTAAGCTTCCCAGGTTGTCTATTGTAGCAAGAAATAGTCAAAGAGAGCATGTATGTATTTGCTTTTTTTTTCTTCCTCTTTTTTTTCCTCCATTGATTGCTCAACTATGGAGTTTAGATCCAAGTCCTGTTCAAACTAGTTTGCTTTAGGACAAATGCCTTGCAAGATATGGCACACTGAGCAATGGGCAATGGCAGGAGAAGCAGCCTCTCAGCCCCAGCAATCAATGTCGGCCGTGTTTTATCCAGTTTCTAATCATCCATTTTTGCCCCGAGCACCTTTGTACAACTAATCTGAGCCCAAAATTTGCATCCTTTGACATTTCCACTTCTAGACAACGGCCAGTGTCTCTGCTGATGATTGGACCATTCTGAAAGAAAGAAAAGAAGGGTTAGAAGAAGGGACAAGAAAATGTCAGAAAGACTTGGAGAAAAAAGTGCTAGATCTGTAATTTCTAGAAAGCACTCTGAAAAGCCCGGAACATTCTCTGTAGTTCAAGTGATAAAAAGTTTAAAGGGGAGAAATCCTAGAAAGCATCAGGGAGATTCCTAGAGTAGTCCTCTAAAGACCTTCTTGATCTCCATTAAATATCCTCCCAGTCACTTTCTCTCCAGTTCCCTTCCGCGTGGCTCTCTGAGGTTTTCCGCACCTGCGTAAAATCCCAGAACCTCTGTGCTGGTCTCAGGACATCTTCACACTTCTTCAGAGTCGGCGTCCTGCCCTTCCCATCATCAACAAGGCATTTGGAGTCAGGCAGGAAGGCTGTGGAGCCCAGCGGCCCCAGCTGCAGGACACCATCAGAGCTGTAGCGAACGAGCTGGGGAGAAAAGCAAAGGGAACAATTTCACCATGGCCCCACAGTCCCAGCCATGGGACACCAGGCCAACCAGCAGCTCCAGTTCTTTGTCGTGCTGTGGGTCAGGCCCTTCCCACTCCGGTACGTTGTGCTCCAGGGCAGAGCCTGAGAACCTTGGTTTAGCAACCCGAGGTCTCTCGTAGGACACAGTATGCTCCCCACCATTCCCAGCCCAATATTTCGTGCAAAAGGGCAATCAAGAAGATGAAGTAATCAATATGTAAATCATACCCACTCAGCAGGATTTGATGGAACAAGGACACGATGTCAATTTGCTGTGCAGTTTGCTCTTAAGAGCTCTGTTAGAGGCTATCGATAGCAACAGCTCTAATTAGTTTTTGTAAATAAACGCTACTGAAAAAATCCAGTAACCAAAAATAAAAGAGAAAAAAAAAATCCTGAGGGAAATAAATAATTTGCTAACATATTCTTCAGGTCACCATAATAACACACTGAAGAATGACACTGATATTTCAGCTTTTTGTGAGGTTTAACTGTTCTGAAATGTGGTGATGTGATAAACGCTGCAGGCAGTAAATATGCTTCAGGTGACAGCCAGTGATTATTTTGGAGTATTTTTTGTCTTTTAATCAGGATAAAAGTTTTGGCGAGTACCAGTGGTTTAACATGTACAGCACAATCAGACATGAATTTTTACAAAGCAAGAGTCATTTTTATCTTTATTCCATTTTAAGTGATGATTTCACCTGTCTCACATCAGTGGCCCTCAAGAAAAGAAAATCCGCATGTAGGAGAGGTGAAAAATTGGTTTCTTGGAATCTCAGACTGCCAGAATGTATTTTATTGCAATCATGTTGGACAAAGGAAAAATATTGAAGGACAAAGAAAGTATCTGTAAGTGGCTCCTGTCAAGCAGGGCTAATTGTCACAATGCAAATTTGTGATGGAAGAGAGCTGGAAGCAGGCTCCAGGTGAAAGGAGTGGATGGCTGCCCTTGATGAAGGATGGCTGATTCCAAACCCTCTCTGCCGGATCCTCAAGATGTGATTTCCCTCTCCTACAGAGTGGGGTGAGTTTAGGATGTTCATTTAGCAGGCTGTACCAACAGCCTAGCACATAGCACTGAGATAACTGTGATGGAGTCCTCATTTATGCATCACAAACATCAAAACCTTCGTTACTGCTTCTCTCCAGACAGTTGAGGGAGAGTCTTCTGAGACAGAAAATGCATGATGTTAATTTGGCAGCAGACTGAGCAGAGGCCCAGCGGCATCCCAATGGCATCCCTGTGCTCTCCATTCTCTAGATCATGCAGCCAGAAATGCAGCTGGAAATACAATATTTCTGTTTTCTTTCTCTAACTTATAGATACCTCTTCAATAAATGTCCAGCATGGCTCTGTTTTGTGCAGGTTTGTTACAGCAGAATTATGCTCTACTGAGTCTGAAGCATCCACTTCTCATTTCTGCGTTGCAGTCCAGAGGCATTCCACCAGCACAATATTTTGCCCTATAAGTACTCAAGTGCAGCACACAGTGGCCAAAAGGCTGTGCAACGGAGTCAGCTTTATGGCTGGGGTGCTGCTGGAGCCACTGGAGAGGCACAATTATCACCTGGGAAATTCATTGCCTGCCTCATCTTACTGCTCTCATGTGGCTGGAATTGCTTAACAGGAAAGGGAAGGCAGGTCAGAAATGTCTGGCATTTATTGGATGCTACTGGCCAGTGTATGAGACATCATTAAGAGTCAATCAAAAAAACCTGAATTAGAGTCTAGCTTTCTTCACCCGTCCTTATTAACCTCAGAAGAACCACGCTGTGAATAATCATATCTTTCTGCTGGTAAAAAAGCCCCGTCTGCTCGCTCCCAAACCAAATGCCCTCTGACAGAGCATGTGCTCATTTTCTCCACCTGCCACTTCTGTTCAGAGCATCTGTCTGAAGCACACAGTTAGGGCAGAGCCCACACCACAGGGAGCACAGGGATAAGCACAGGAGGATTCTCCTTGGCATGAGCAGTGGCATCAGTCGAGGCACTGTTTCTGCACAATGAATCAAGACTTTTTTTTCTGCCTATAGGGATACTGGGGACATATGGAAAAGAAGCTCAACAACAAAGTGATTCAAAATTCAAATGGACTGCTGACTCTGACACATGAACTTGTGTTTTTCCCATAGGGAAAAAAAAAATCCCACATTCCTGTTTTTAAGTAAAACATGTCTACTTCACACTTCTAAGAACCAGTGAGTACTCAGCAGAGTTCAATTGAACTGCAGGCATTGCTGAAAACTACACTCGGTAGGAAATATGCTCATCTTGCCATCTTCATTATAATCTGTGGGTCTAAAAATACCACCCTGCTTGGCTTTGCCTTATCAAGATAATCAGGGCCACCTTTTATATTGGGCTATCGGCTCTGTCAGATTGATTTCCCTTGTGGTTCACAAGGAGCAGTGTTTTCTATACAGATATTAAAATGGTCTAAAATATTCTTTGTCTTTGGAATCTCTACAGCCAGAGTTGCATTCCTCAGCATCAAGCAGCCAGGTACCTCAGAAAGGCAGCGTTGTAAAGAAGCTGAAACTATTGCTGCTGCTTGAGCCCTGGAAGTGGAAGACACAGTAACTCTGCTCAACTGTCTCCAATATTAAAAGTGGCAGATGTGTGACAGCTCAACAAAATAAAAGATGGCTTGGCACATGAAATTGATATCCTTACAATGATGAGACAAACGGAACAGCATCAGCATAATTTTCCTAAATCTGTACTTTCTGCTGAGAGTTCCAAAAATTATAAAAACTGAGGCACATCTGAAATAAAATAAAGCAAAATTCTGAGAGCGCATCCAAGCCATCTTGTCAATTCAAGCCATGTGATGCAGGAACGTTTTAGTGCCTGCTTCTGCAAGATCAGATCTGAAATTAAGGTTCATCAAAGTTCAAATTAAGATTCATTATATGATTAATAATGTCTCCCTCCAAGGACTTGATATCATCACTTCATAGAGACAATACAAACTGCACAAATATGATAAGTATTAAAATAAGTTGCTTAGTACTGCAGACTAGAAAACAGGAACTGGAATACAAATCAATGGAGTAATGAAAATTACACTCTCTGTGTTCAAATTCAATCTCAACTGTCCCTTCCATACTGAAAACGAAATGACAACCTCTGCATTTGCACTAGAACTGTGGGTGTGATGCATCATGCCAAATCTATTCCCTGCCAGACAAAATCAAATGGCAGCCCCCCTTTATTGAGGCATATTCAAACCTGGTGAAATCAAACAAACAAAACCCCTCTACACAAGTCCTGATGGGCTGTGAGCCTTACATACCCACGCATTCCCAAGCTGCAGAACAGAAATGTATTTTTAATGCCCCATTAATGATGAAGGACCTCACATGCTGAAGCCTAGAGCTTCAGTGTTCCCCACTCCAGGATCTAATCCTGATGCTATCTGCTCTGCCTACGATAACACAGGACACTTTTCCTTTCAATTTTCAGAAATCTGAGCAGAATGGAAGAGACATCAAAGGTTGTTTACCAAAGTCACTACAACTGATTAAAAAAATAGCAGGCAGTGATGCTTATGGAAGGTGGTCCTCAGGAGCATAAGCTGGTAGGTAAATGTCAGCTCTTAATTGAAGGGTTTGACTTCAGAGAACCCATCCCTGCCGATTTCCAGTCAAGTGAGTAAAGCACAGATCAGCAGGCAACTTTGGAGGAGACACACAGATGAGTCCAGTCGGGTTCCATGGGAAATGTAACCCCTCGCTCTTATTTCCCCAGCAAAACAAAATACTTAACAGCCTCTCAGCAATGCCAGATAAGGTGAGCTGTAAGCTAACATTAGTGAAACAGAGCCTGAAATGTCTTAAATATCCAGAATGCTTGTCATAACAAACACAGGTTGTTTAAAAGAATGCCACCCACTGCTTCTGCCGAGCAATTTCCTTTCCATCCGTTGCCCTGCTCTGAGCGATGGGATATGCTATCCAGTGTGCTATGGAAAAACATAGCTCTGCCTGGAAAAATGTTAAATATCTGCCCTGAAGCAGCAGTTAAAGCGAGGCCTTTCATCTGCTTTTATTCCATCTGTTTGTATGGCCGCAAACTCCAGGAATCTGAGCACAGAGATCTCTCTCCCTTCTACTTGATCTCAGCACGAGGAGCTCTCAGCACCACAACTGCTGTGTGGTGTTAAAGGGTGTGGTGTGGGGGTGGGTGGGTGGTAGCCAGGCCCTGCATCCAGGATGCTGTTCAGTTCACATGCTGTGTGCTCAGCTCCACATCGCAGCATTCAAGATAAACTCCAGGACAATGAATACTTCCACTGAGGCTGTCAAGTTGCTCTCAGATGGTTCAACACCTGTGTGCCACTTTTGGGGTTGTTCTTTTTTCCATTTTTTTTTTTTAAGCTGTTTTTTAAAACAAAAGGGTATGGTGCACTGCTGTAGACCCAGTGGGCATTACAGGTGATTGCACATGACAAGCCATTTGGGTTCCCCAGGTATATTCCTTTCTTTTCCTGACAATTCCTCTAGCTACGGATGGTGCTTCCCATTGCTCTTTCAAGAGCATTTGCAAATCTTTTTTTCCTGAAAGGATTAGACTCCAACTTCAGGCCTCACGAACCCACATCAAAATGACAATACTCCTCTGTAAAGTGAGTTCTGAAATCAACTCAGGCCAATGCAAAACCTTGTATAGATATTCCTAACTACTGAGAAGTTTTCAAGCCAGTAGGATACATCAAGCACCAGTGATAACCTAAACTGGGAGAATGAGCGCCATGTTAATTGCCATTAATATTCAGTAGGCGTGTACAACTAACCCAAATCTCAACTCAGCGGGGTTATTATACGCCCTGTGCTTGAAGGAAAAATGTCAGAAACTGAAAGCTAAACATAACAGATAACTATGCTCACCCAGGATGATCATAAGAGGGGCTTTAAAAATGTTTATTTAATATATTAAAAAGCTTGCTGTCAACACCTTTTATGCTATGTGCTTGAATATCCTTGATTAGGGTTTGTGCAGCTGTAGTTCTCATACTGAATTAATTTTGTAAATTGTGATGAGATGATAGAACTTTTCCAGCTGTGTAATCATTAATTAACTTGGCTGCATTTGAGTGGCTCCAACCCATACTTGTCTGTGAAATACTCAACTTAGATAAAACATCACCTTTGCCTTCTGCCTGGCGTTTCTTACTGAGTGAAATGGAAACTGCTGCAGAATGACTTGGTAGATTAACTTCTTGCCTTACTCATACTTTAATAATTCTCACATGCAGAGATTACTTTGGATTGTAAGGGCTTGAGAAGAGTGACTTTCTCTTTCTATGCCTTTATAAAATGCTAGTATAAGAGGGCTCCATTTTGTGGCTGTACTTTAAAGGTTTTTTTGGGAATTTCAAACAGATGAGATATTGGAGACAAGTAGTGGAACTGAGCCAGAAGAGACTGAATTGGTCACTACCCATCTTCAATGTTTTGGGCAGTGTGTAACTTATAGATTGTTATTTGCACCTGAGAAGAGCTGCCCAGTTTATTCAGCAATTACTTACAGGCAATGATTTGTTCCTTAAGTTTTAGTCCAAAGTAAACAGAAAGCTTGGTTGAGATGGATGAAAGAAACTGGTCAGAGCTAGATGCTATCTGAGAGGTGAGCTGCTTTAGGCCCCGAAATTTTAAGAATCTCATGTAGGTTGCAAAATATCTATTTCATTTTTCCTTTCAGTGCTAGCATGATTATGTGTTGGAAAGGCACTTTTGAGAAAGGCTTAAATTTGCAGCCTTCTGTTTAAAATTGGAATGGAGCAAGATACTCAGCTCCCCGAATGTCTCGATATCTCTGGCTACTCTTCTTGGAAAACTCATTTACATCTAATTAAACAACACTATTTTGTTACCTTACTCTGTCCCTTCTGCCTTTACTGTGAAAGTGTCAGTCAGGAGTCTGTAATGATTCTGCCAAGGCTGGACATTTTGTCAGTAAGAATTACAGTCTATCCTCTTTGCTCTAATGAGGTTTGACTCTTAACCAGCTTCCAATTAACCACAGTAGGCAATATTTATATTTCACAACTCCTGTTATGCTTCCATGGCAATGTATGAGCCAGGACTCCAAATCAATACACATATGGGTGAACTCCCGTAAGTCCCTGATAAGGTCAGAGTTTATTTACGCATGAGAACATTCATTAATGTAGTTTTGATTTGGACAGTACTTTAAATGAAACTAGAATTAGATTAATTAGAAGTAGCTCAAGTCCTAGGTCTAAATAATAACCAACTTGTATCTAAAAAACAATATCATTATTAAGCAAGGAAAGAAGAAACGTCATTTCAAATTCACCAGACATCTGTAAGAAAATAATATTCACAGGGACCTAAAAAAACCCCAAATGTTCAATTTTAGAGAAATATCAATTTAAAAGATATTCTCAATTGCATTCAAAATTAATGATAAATATGTGCTTAACTTTTTGCCCATTTAGGGAATCACATCAGCATCTTGCTAAAATGTTTCTGCATAGGAACCTATTGGACCGATCAACACTGAAGGTAAAGAGGTATGATTCCTAAAATATGCCAAGTCACAATGAGAAGAGCTGCTTGTGGAAACAAACAGTCTAAATTTGATAATCATCTCTCCATTATTGAAACAAATTATCATTATTTTTCTGTTTTCCTTATTAGCATCTTCAGAGTATAGATTTGCATGTTGTAAGATCTGGGAAAGGGCACTCAAAAAGACTAGAGGGAAGTCAAAGATTTTCTTTTGCAACATGAAGAGATACTGCCATACTCAAACACAATAAATTACCTTTTGTTTCTTCTGAAAATTTCTTAAAGTTGCAGTTCTCTCAATAATAATGGGATTTAAATTATTTACCTGAGAGGACATTCCATGGCATGGATAAAGGATTGCTTTATCATCCTCTTCAGCTCCCTGATCTAAGCAGTAGCCACTGGCTTTGCTGTTACGCACCTATAGCACAACCAGAAGGAAAACAATTGAATTAGAAACTGTTCTGTAAGATGCAAGTCCTTCCCAGACAAAGCTTAGTTGTACCACAACTGCTGACACAAATGGTGGATAAAACTATTCTCTTCTTCTCTGAGGAACATTCTCCATACGTGACAGGACTTTAACTTTGCAGTCTCTCCAGGAAAAGACAGATCATTTGGACAACCTCCTGTCTTTACAGAATTATTAACTGAAGTCAGAGTTTTATTTTTATCAATTACTCAAGGATCAAAACCCCATAAAATGCACTCTATAAACTCAGGCCAAATTTTGCTCCAAATTACCCTTGTGTAGAAAAAGAGGTAGACCCTACATGCTGAAATGTGGCTTTACCCAACAGCAAAGGAACTGCCCAGGCTGGTGTTGGCTGTGGCACACTTTTATTTGCTCCTATTGTGTATATAAGAACAAAAAGAGCATATTAAACAATTTTATTTCAATTAAGAATATAACACATTTTACATCATTGAAAGAATGCAGCAATGATAAGCAGCACAGAAGGGGTTCATATATTTGAAGACGGGGTTCAGAGAAACAGTCAAGTCAAAAATTTAGGCATCTCCTCAGATAAGAAGAGTTTACAAGTCCATGAAACTGTGCTGGAGCTCTTGTGAGCTCTTCAGGCTGCAGGTACTAATGCACATTTTGGACACAGAAAATTTTCACAGATCTCTTAAATGAGAAGTTGTTTAGATGGGCGATTTGAATCGGTCAACAAGTTGCTTTGAGTTTCGACTCATCAACTTGTCTGGCCACCCCTACAATACAGGAATAGCTGCAGCCTGATTTGTTGGAAAATCAGTAAATAATCCTTTATGTTATAGTGCATGAACATAACAGGCAATCTGATGGGATAAGGGGGTTCCCTAGCAATTAAATTTCAGGAGGTTTATTTTATGACTCATACTATAAAGGCTAAAGAACATGAAGACAGCTTTATGACACAGCTTTAAAAATGTGAATTGAGTCACTAGGAAATATATTTTTACTACTGTTTCAATATGTTTCACATCTACTCAATACATTTATTTTCCTTAAAGTCCTGAAAATTCAAACACCTTTTCCTCCAGAAAAATAGCCGTAAGAGAAAATACTAATAACAAGCTTTATATCGTTTAGGATGAAGCTTGTAGTTTTTTTATTATGGGCATGTAAGAAAGAGGACGATTCCAGTTTGTACTCGCTAGATAACTTGTGTGGCTCCAATTTATCATAAATTTTAATGAATTGGATACTTGCAGTGTTGAACTTCCTGTGTGACTTGAGAACTTTGAATGCGACCACTGAACAGAAACAAACTTATTTTTGGAGCCCAGCTTCCTACCCGTCTGGTGTAATTGACACAGCATTGGCAGTACTGCCAATATTCTTCTCAGCAGCATTTTCAGAGCTGACAGTAACTAATAGCTCTTGTTGAACTTCCTAAATGTCTTTCCTTGGTTACTGCCAGAGATAGTTGTATTAGGATACAGAGCGGCGTTATGCAATAAAACTTGCACTTTGTATCAATATCTGAAGGGCCTGACTTATTTTTATATGAAGTCATTTAAATGGGACAGCAGGAAAGAATGTCCATGTAGTTGTCTGGTGTGAAAATTTATTGCCTAATTCAAGCAGACAATTAACACAGAGTCTTAAAAACACTGTCCTGGAACGTCGTCCCAGTTCACAGACACACAGCAGTCCTTACCTTACATGCACTGGATGAACCCTTAAAAAATTACAGAAGGCATGTCTGACCTAAAAGATCAGGTTAGACCATATACAGTGGTTTTGGCTATTTAACAGGTGGAAAAGAAATGATCCAGAAAGCTGACCTGAACCAAATCATCTACACATCTCCAGTGCATTTGGATTCATCATTTTATCAGGGTTAACTGGCCATTCAGCTGTCTCAGAGTAGCTGTTCCAGGGTCTTACTTATTACTGTGCACAGGCAGAAATTAAAATACAGATTCTGAGCACAAAACAGCAGAATAATTTTTCTCTAATGGCTTTTTCTGAAGAGATAAAAGCTTGCCAAATGGTAGCCTCAACTGCATCTGAACAAGGACATGTGGCTTTTTATCCCCAACTAGGAGGATTTGCAAAAATGAATTAATGAAGCAAATACAGGCACCCACCACTAAGATGGAAAGAATTCTGTAATGCTGCCATCATGTTTTTAAAGACATACAGTACCTCTCCATAAGTGACTGTGTTATTATAGACTCTCATTTCAGGATAGACATTCTCCAAGTACCACTTAAAACTCCGGCACTGCAGTCTCTGTCGTAGAGCTATTCTTTCAGAAACATCTCCAAAATCAACTCCAGGGTTCTACAAAATAGAAAAACAATAGAGTCACCACACTGACTTTACAGTTGTTTGTTGTTGTTTTTTTTTTTGCTGAAACCAAATTGGTGTTCATTTTGTGCACCAAGTTGTATTTCCCTCCCTACTTTCTCTTTTGTAAGTAGCAGCTCATCAAACAGCTGCTGCGGAGAGCAGACAATAAATATTAATGCAAGTCAGTAGAAAAATAAGGATAATGAACAAGCAAAAAAACCCCAAACATAAATCAAAATATAAAAAAATCAATGTGAATGCTGTTAACATTCAGCAATTCTAAAAGTTTGCAATCAAACCTGAACTCCTTTGCTTTCGGATTTATAAGGAATTTAGCTGTAATTCTGATCTAAGATCTAGCAGCTTGATCATGGTTTAGACTATTAACAGCCTTGGGTATTCACGAATGTAAATGAGAACAGACCTGTTAAAACTTCAAAGCAGAGCTGCTCAAAAAGCAATTAAGCCCCATTAAACATTTGCATAGACCAGCATTCAGTTTTTACTGGAACTGGAGCTCATTCACAGACTTAAGCTATAAAACGCACTTAAGCTCAATACCTTCTTTGTAATTCAATCCCAGAATTTAAATCACATTTGACTAAAAAATTCCATAAAAGCATATCAAAAATAAATTGATATGATCAGACTCAAACATTTCAAAATGACCACGTCAGTTATTGTCTGTAGAGATAAACCAGGATAAATCATCGTAGCTCAACATCAAGACACTGAGTTACCTAATTTATAAATCTTTTCTGATGCTGAAAGAATTAAATGGAGTGAAATTGGTGGCTTTTGCATGGATCTATCTTAACTGCCCTGTACAGAAATCTTTCTGGAGGAAAAATTTGTTTTCAAGAGGTGTCTGATGCAGGGTTACAAGACAGCAGCAAGTCTTAGCTCGGGGTTTATTAGAATCCCCAACAGATGCCTTGTTTTCAGGAGAGAATACGAGTGTAATACTGAACAGGTTTTTCCATTTGCCACATAAAGAGTTTGCTGTGCTCAGTGCTGCTTGCTGATGCATACTTTGTCATGAGCTTTCTATGCAGCATCCATTCAAATGAATGTTAATTTATGTTCTACTTCAGGCTAAATGGAAGGAGAGCAATTCTTGGAGGCACTCAGTACAATAAATCATTCAGTATAAGATTTATTTATCATAAAAATTGTTGAGGAATAGATCATAAACAGGACGTACCAAATATTTGGCAAAGTGCAATAGTGCTACACTGACCTGCTGCTGAAGGTTACAGGGGGCTATGGGATAAGACTGCAGGTGTGTCCAGCCACCAACCAGGTACACACTGTGAACAGACCCTCAGTAACTTAGAAGGGAAAAGATGGTGTGTGTTATGAAAGGGTTAATTTGGATGGGTTTTAAATACAGAACACATGTATTTTACTCGTCTCTCTTCCATTCTATAGTGAAGAAATGTAACACCTTGCTCGCTAGGCTATTTCTACAGATCACAAGAGCAGCAAATTGAGCAGCTATGAAAATGCTGTGCCTGTTCCATACTAGCTACAGTCATTAAGTCGGGGTTGCTGCATGATGGTACAGGAACGAGGAGCCCATATGATGTAGTATGCAGACTCATCCTTTTTCACTCAGCAGTAAGGTTTCTAGTTCTCTCACAGAAAATTTTTCTTACGGCTTTGGCCAGTAAACTACTTAGGTCAACTAGATTGACTACAGCAGAACGACTCTGTGGACACTAACATGCTAGCTTCCTTTTCCTGAAAGCTAATGGGGTTGTTTTTATGATGTACGTTTTATCAATCAATTTATTTTATGGAAAGTATATTTTAATGTTCAATACTTCTGCTGATTTTATGCTTTTGCATATAGATGTGCCTGTTTTTTTAAAACACTGTTATATGGCTCCGTGCAGAAAACTACATCAATAAGTGATCTCAGAGAAATTAAAGGAAATCGTGTTTTGGTGTGAATGCTTATTTAAATGTCTTTTATATTCTCAGAATTCGTTTGCAGAGAGCATCAAGTAAACAAATTTTCAAAGATTATTTCTCTTTCACCTTCCTGCTAGAAACTCACCATTTGTTCAGATGGACGCAGGCAGGGCCAAAATGCCCCTAAAAGTTTAGGTGAGCCCTGCTTTGTCTTCCTCCTACTATCACAAAAACGTTGTGTTAGGCAGCATTGCCTTGCTACGGCAAGATAATTCCCTGCAATTAGCCAAAAGTAGCAACCAAAACACATCTTCATAGAGACCTAACTTTCAACACAGTATTGTGAATATTATGAGAATGCCCAATACTAAACAGCAGTAATTAAAATTCTGATGGGTGTGAACATCTAACGTACTCAGACATCACAGAGGAGAATGAAACATGACTCCTTTAGGTATATGTATCTTCAAAAACATGACAAATTAATTAGAATACCTTCTGATATATTATCTAGTTATCAAAGCACAAGTAGGTATTTAAGATAAAACTAAATCTGGTGAAATCTATGCCAGGACTCCCATGACTCCGATGGACTCTAGGTCATAACTGTAAATATTCACAGTGATACAGCTGGACTGGCATATTTTTCAGCTCAGATAGAAGCATCTTCTGTTTCCATTTACTTCAACCAATCATCTTTGGCCAAATCCTTCATGTAAGGGTTAACAAAACTATCCTTAGTTACAGAAGTGTGTGTGCTTCCCCTCAGCTGCTCTCTCTGTGCCCCTTCACATGAATAATTTGGATGGAAATATCACTAAAAGATACAACAGCAGTCGGCTTCCACCTGACTGTGCTATAACGCATATCTCTTCTCTAAAAGAATTATGCTCTGTGGAAATATAGCATGAGATATACTTCCAGAATCAAGTAGTAAATTGAACCTGCAGTTTATCTAATATTTATATTACGTGGATTCCTGGGGGCCCCCACCTGCCATTAACAATTCACATGCACAGTAAGAAGTGGAACGTGTCCACATTGCAACTCTCACCCTGTAGAAAATAAAGCTAGTTAATGTGGGATTCCTTTATTGCACACATTGTTTTTTATCCTGGTGAGGTCCGCGGAGTCTCATGATGAATCATGATATTTATTTATGGACATTTCTCTAGTTCTCAGTACTGTAGCATATGAACACCTCAAAGTTTAATGGCATCCTAAATTAAAGACTTTCTCTGAGAAAGCGCATAAACCTGAAACATCATGCTCCAGTTAAATTGTAAGTCTGTGTCACCACTCCAGAGCCTACAACAAAACTCACACACCAAGGAAGCAATATAGGAAGCAAGTTTATGACACTCTGCTCTGAGCATTCACCAGCACAAAAGAAGTCTTCCTCCAACTCTTTGCCCACTGCATACAGTTGTTGTAATGTCTTCACCCCAAATTGCTAAGTAGGGACAACTATTCAGAATTCTGCCTTTGTTCAGGACTAGTGTGGCCCATACTTACTGCCATGGGGATGTTCCACGCCATGTAAACATGGGACTTGAAGTCATCCATCCAGACCTCTGCGGCCCGAAGGGCGTTGCGCTTTGCATAGTAATCGATGTCATTGTTGTAGGGCTTCTTTGTGCGTTCGATGTGTGCCACACGAGAGCAGGGTAGCACCTCCATACTTCCTCCACATTGCCAGACCTGGGAGAGTTTGAGGAAAAACAAACAATTTTCTTTTCCCTTTTCTTTGTAAGTGGATATAACTGCTCCAATTAAGAATGCGTGCAATGTTCCATCATTTGAGATGGGTACTACTGAGTAATTCAGAGACTGCTCTGAGGGTGAAACCCCTCTTACCCTCGTTGACTAAAGATGAATGCTGCTGCCTGTGTTGGATACACAGGTTTAGGTGCCATAAATATCCAAGTTCCCCATAATGTCACTGTTCTTGGAACTATTTGGAAGATGACATATTACAAGGTGGTAACCTGTGTCATGCAGATGAATTTAACCTAGTCCTTGTTAGTGAAAATACCTCTGAGCTGAAGAAGATGGATAAAAGGGTGAGTGTGGACTATACCAACCCTTCTGAACACCACTGCCCTCAAAAAGTGCCATTTTTCCCTGTTGATTATTTACAGCCTCAACTCCATGGTGGGAAACAAAGAGGAGCTGCCTCTCAATCAGTGAGGCTGGACTCATGCAGTGAATACCCTCAGGTTCCAACGCTCTCAGGTCTGCACCTGGTACTGCAGTCTAACTGAAATAAATAAAATATATTAAAACTTTAAAAATAATCTATTGCTTTCCAAAGCTTCCCTTTACTGCACATAAGAACTCATTTCCAGACCAGATGCACTCCAGAACAATTCTAGGGCTATTCTCCCCCCAGCCTGCCTTCTCATGGACAGAGATAAATTGCTTGGGAAGCAGAGATAAAATTGTCTCTTCCAGTTTGTATTTTTTTAATACATTGTTAGATAATACTTATTTGCTGCTTTCTGAGCCGTCCTACAGTAAATCACTGGCCACAGGAGTTTGCACTTAATAAATGAAAAATGCCAGAAAACACACTGCTCATAAATTTGGACTGGCATATGCTGAGGGTTCCCAGTGCAGAGGAGAAGTGCTACGAGAAAGAAAGGAATTAATTGATTCTCATGATGAGAAGGGCAGATGAGCAGTCCCCTTCAGTATTCTGCTATTGGCCCACCCCACCCCAGCATTCAGCTCTTAATACACAGCTCATTTTTCTTTCTCTTGATATGGTTAATGACCTTGTAATTTTTATTTTTATATTTTGGTACCAAGGGCAAATACATTATCTGAACAACAGATTTACTGCCTTCAGATGCCTGTGCTCATGCAAACCTGAAAAGGAAAGGGTACTAAACTGCAACATTAAAGAAAGTACTTCAGTTTATCTGCAAATTCAACACAAATAGTTATTTACCAGTGATAAATTCTCCCCAGAAGAAATCCACAGGGAACTGAGACACCTAGCTTTGAAGAAAGCAGGGCAGAAAATAAAAGAAAAAGAAATAGAGAAAGAAGAGAAGCCAGCAGCAGCCTCAGGCCAGCTAACGCTCCCGCTGTCAGCCCGGTGCTCAGCAGTCAGCACAGATCTGCGCCGTGCTGTGACCGCCCCATCTGCGGTCGTCTAAATTGCTTTACATTTACATTCTGTCAGCTCTTTCCCTCCCCTCACAGCCCCATTTTGCTCTTTAAGGTGACAGAATGTGTTACAGAGAGAAAAGGAATGAAACAGCCTCTGACAAAGGAGACAGCTAGGAAATATCCAAGGAAATTTTGCTTCCTACGAAGATGCCCATTCACCTTGGATGACTTGTTTGCTCTGGGAATGTGCAACTTCTGACACAAGTGGGAGATGTTTCCCTGCATAAGGATGACATTCCTAATCCCTGCACAGCACAGGAGATGGGGAGGCACGTAGATCCCTGGGCAGCAGCAGGCCACCATCTACCCATGTGCTGGGCAAGGTGGATACAGGCAGCAAAGTTGCCCTGCTGCAGCTGATGAGCAGGAAGAACAGAGAAGCAAACAGTGCAGCTGGCACAGCCCAGAGACTTGGCTTTGCCTCCGTGAGCATCACACTGTGCAGCGTTTTAAGACATGATCAAGTAATTCCAAGAGACACTCAATTTATTTGCTAATTGTAGTTAATTTCTAATTTCGGCATTGGTCTTTAGGCTGCTATAAACAAAATTGATAGCAATATAAATGTTACCATAGCTGTGTTACCTTAGCATTTTTACTGCTAATTATCTCAATCAACTTTTCTATAAACAGACATATTAAGTATTAAGAAGAACAAGTACTCACATCAGGGATAAATTACACGTGGAATGATAATGTTTGTGGTTTGTGCTACAACGATTCACTCATGCTAATTATTAGCTATTCCTATACACCTGAGAGATGGCTGCCCTACAATGTAACTATTATGTTATACTGATATAGAATATTTTTATTGCATGTAATATATTTACACTGTATAATATAAAGAAGCCAGTTAGACACCGTATCCTATTTGTCATAGAAAAACCAAGATGAGACATAGAGTGCCTTGTTTACCATGGCCTAAAGCTGTGCATTACCAAAGTTCTCTGAAGGCAGCTAAGGTACATGACTTTAAGAGGTTGTAAATCCCCATGCTCCCACTGTTGAATTGCTGCCAGACAAGAAGAAACTTGGTTGTGCAGACTGTTACCATACAGCTCACAGTTGTGTTGTAGCAGCTGTGTGTTTCATCCTTTTCCAAGAGCCAGTGGCACCTTTAGCAGTTCTTTGCTGAAAGGAAAAATCACTCGTAGGCAGCTGTAAGAAAGCAGTGAGAATCAGCTTTGCAAGCGGCGCATGGTAGCAAGGTCCCCTCGGTTCTGCTGTGCCCAGCAGAGCATGTTACCTGGCCTTTCTACAGTGGTTTCTGCCAGAGGCAGTGCTTCAGAGGTGGATGTTCAGCACATCCTTAAGCTAGAAGTGGACTCTGATGTTTTATAGAAAAAGTGCTGAACTCCACCTGAGCAGCACTCCATAGGAATAACCTCTCAGATTTCAGACTTTCTTTTCCGCATGAAGCCAACAGATGAGATGGAAAGAGATTTTAAAGCAGCTTAGGTATCCATACCCATGTTTTATCATATCCCAGCGTGGGAATTCTTACAAGACAGGAATCTCAGGTTTTCTTCCATTTTCAACACGAAGCCTGTCAAAGATGAATGTCCTCCAGACCCCACAACGACTGGAAAGGATTTTCCTATCATGAAAGAATTTTCAAAGCTTTCAGAAATCTTGCTGACCTAAACTGTCAAGAATTACATAAATGTTTTTCACTGGTAGGAATGCAGGCACTTTGTCATCCCTAAACCTCCTCTGCTCCCCCCCAAATCCCAAAATGTTCTGCTAAATTGAACCAGTGATGATTTTGAGATGTTTTGTTCTGTGTTAAAAGCTTGTTTAGTATAAACATATTTCAAACTGAAAGGTCAGTTTAAACCAATCCTCCACATTTTCACTGCAAAAATAGCAAAACCCAACATTTTGACAACATTAAGAGATGCACTTGCTCTGAATTAGAAATTTTGTCAAAATGCAGCCTGCTCCACAGGAGCATTTTTGTTTTAATTTATCAGCAGGAAATGCCCTGAAAATCTGTCCATTACATTTGAAGGAGGCCAGCAGGCTCTCAGCCCTTCTCAGCGCACAAATGGCCTGGAGATAAAGATGCCTTAAACCATTGCTATAGATAAGGAGATCTGACAGCGTTCATAATGCAGTTTCTCAAGGTGAAAGAAGTCTCAGCACTTTTGGTAGCTTTCTGTGGCACCTGAAGGGCAGAGGATGCAGTGTGGGCAGCGCAGTCCTAACAGGTGCAGCTTCTTAAACACCACCGTGTAACATAAAATCCATCTGTATGCAAAGGTATGGGAAAATGTCTGCCTTGATGAAGTCAAAGAAGCCTTTTAACATTAAAAACATGCATAGGAAGATGATGTTGTTTTGTTGGCCTCTCTCTGGTCAGCCGTGCACCAACAAGGTCTAAATCAAAAAGCATCCTTCAAATTAAATGTGAGCAGTGCCAATAAGGTCTTTGTTCACCCAACGTGCAGGAGCCCTCCAGTTATCCTCCAGTCCTTAATGGATGTGTCAACTCTTCTCATGCACACTCCGGTAACAAAAAATTAGCATGAATATAGCACACTTATGGTTCTTGCATCCCTGTTATTGACAATTTACATAGCTTGCTGAAAATTGATATTTCAGAATAATTTATAGCCTGACATTTTCTTTTTTCTAATGGGGTTTTACGGCTTTTCTTTCCTCTATGTATTCTCAGTGCTGACTGGAGTGTCACATTTAATCAGAAGTGCTAGATAAAGTGCTCTTTGTCTGCTTTTCAGTCCACATTGGAAGCTATCTGAAACTAGGAAGCTGTCATAATCAAACAGCTCATATGGAAAAATTAATCACATGGCCTCATGTTGTTCACTGACAGCATTTTTGTGATCAGCTTTAAAAACATCCATAATTATGGTTTTAAAAAGTCTCAACTCTTGGATCTCAGAACAGTCTGTGCTATTTAATGGGGCACTTACAGAGCAAGAAGTCTTTCCATGCTGGGACAGGGCAGCTTACATCAGAAAGACTTCTGGCTGCCAAAAAACAAAAGTGAAAAATGCAGAAATCACATCTCAAGATTCACAGATTATATGTTTTCATTCAAGATTGCAGGATAAATATCTGACAATGCTTGCTCACTAAAGGACCTAAATGGGTCCTTCCTTGCTTGACTGATCACAACACTCTCTATCACAGCCTCTGACTTTGAGATTTCCACTCCTCCTAACAGCAGTTTGTAGATAATCTGCTACTGGTGGATATATAGGGAGTGAGACAAGATCGCATGCATAAAAGCTATTTCTGTCCCCAGAATAGTCTTATCACACGGATATGTAAATACCCAGTCCCTGCTGCTCCTGCTGCCTTTGGAGCTGGGAACACGCAGCAGCATTTGCAGACTGCTGATTTTGGAGGGCTGAATTCCATGCGGGGCACTCATGTTTTTTCCTGGCTCATGCAGTTTCCACAGCATAAACTTGCAGCACAATTATGGAGGATAAAGTAGATGCAGTCATATAACTTCCATGTGTTTGGCATCAGCATTATCTAATTACTGCTAT